TATATGTATTGTACCTAATATACGAACGCGTGAACTTATCAGCAGTGGGTCGACGATAAATTTTTCCGTCTCGCGGATTTCGCGATTTATCGGTGGCGCGGCGGCGGCGGTGCAGGTGTCGTTTACACGGTCGTAAATTTATCGCGCGTGAAATGAGAAATGTAGGTTTTTTTTTTTTTTCTATGTTTTGCCCTCGTGCCATTATAATATAGTATAGTTTGATGAGTTTGAATAACGCGCGAAGTAAATAAATACCTATAATAACGGCCGTCATGTAAAAGTCGACTACCGTATTCACGTAAAAAAAAATCGGGATTTGAAATTCGATGACGTTTTGTTCGTAAATGTTTTTCGGACCGTTTTAAAAATCAAGCATTATACGGATGTACGTATGTGCTACAATGACGCTAGAAAACCGTAAAGCGGGAATCCTACGCTTATCCTCAGAGAAGCTGGTTCACTTCTAAAATAACATAAAAGAAACAAATTGTTTACATATATTTCATATCTGACACGGTGAAGGCGCAGTGGCATGGATGGACATAGGGTATTGATTGTGTAATTTATAAGCGAGAAAATAAAGATAGGTTATATCAGGTCCCGCATATGCTTAAACTATTTCCGTATTGTTTTCGTATTGTACTTTAAACTATTTTTTTAGAATATTAGAACGATGGTCAACAAGCGATCACGGAACATTTTAAGAACATTTAGGTGATATTTTAAACTAATTATTAACAGAAAACAATACATAGAAAAGTCATTATTGTTAATTAAATATAATATTCTAGATTAATCGATTTTCGGTAACTTTAGACTAAAAATGATAATATTAGATAATATAGCTAATATATAATTAAGCACGACTTATAATGAACCTTCTGTCAAATTTTCAAGCATTTCTGTTCAGTCTAACAATTTTTGTTGGTTATGGTTACAAAGAAAAAAAAAAAAAATAATAATAATAAAATAAAAATACACATCATAGTAAAACCAATAGATCTCTGCCGTGCTCCGAATCTAAAATTGTATTTGATAATGTTATAAGAATTGCAAATAAAAATAAAAATACAAACATTTTTTTACAGTAATAACTGAGTTTCAATAAAATATATGACAAATTTAAAAATAAAAACAGTATGTCAAATTATATAATGTGCATTCGTAGATCTATTTTGTTTGTATAATTTGATGTTTCTTATTATTCGTGTTCTAAAAATATTTCAATTGAAAGTTAGTCGTTTTTTTTTTTTTTTTTTTTTAATTGAGATAAAACATTATCCATACAGTGAGAAATACTCGAAAATGTCAAATAAGTAGCTATATTATTAAATTGTGAAAACAAAAATAGAACGTTTCAATAAGTATCTATTTAAGGCATTTCGAGACGTGAATTTTCACGATAATAATTGTTATTAAATGAAACTGAAATAAAAATCGTGGTTTTGGATTTTTTCAACCAGTGGCAATACGTTGGATGGAATACTTCCGTATTTACTGATAAACTTCTCTGCAGGGATTTCGTGTTATCAGAGCCGAGAAAATATTCGCCCCGTTCACCGTTTTATAAAAACTTCTGCAGCGTACCTATATTATATCGGTTGAATTTATGACTACTTTTTCAGCGTCATCACTTCCGGGTTTTGTTACCGGGTTCGTGTGGTAGTAAAACATATAATAATATACAAACTCTCGTCTTTCGTGTACAGATAGGTATATATGGTCGTAAATTTTCCACGAAAATAAAAAAAAACCATGATTTTTTACCCCCTGTAAATACACTTCCTGTTATATTTATATATGTATATATCACCCGATTTGGATAACCGAAATTTGATTAATGAAATCGTGGTAAAACTATAATTTTGAATCACGAAATCAAATTATATAGTCAGCAGTATAGTCAGAATTAGAATGAGGAAATTCACTGATTATTTTTAATCTCACCTTGGAATAGATAATCAAAAAGATGAAAATGATCGGGTCTCAACAAATTTCCTACAAGACTAGGTCATAAGTTTTTTGGCAAAATTAGATGATATATAATGATAATGGAAGAATATTATACTAAATTAAAACTGTTATTCAAAATACTAAATAATTCAGCATTATAAAGTAAGATGAAGTATATTAATTGGTTTATGAGAATAAACCGGGGCATATGATTACATAGATTCAAGATCAGCTGGAATATATATATATATATATATATATACACACAAGCATATCCATAAAAACGATATAACATAGCAAAAGAGGTGGCCTCGAGAAATCAAGCGGGAGATAAGAATTACTAAGTGTACTTAAGAAGTTGTTAAGTTCACGATCACTGTCAAGAGAAACGGAAAAACAGATACATATACTATATTTTAATGTGATGAGGTACATTGAACAGATCTGAAACTTAGCTACTGAGAAAAATAAACAAAAATTAATTTTTAGCACTCGAAAGAAAAATATTGCCGAAGGATTTGGACCTCTAAACGATAAAATCACCGGCGAGCGGAAACGATGGAAAAACATAGTTAGGTACATCTAATAACGTACGGATAAATTAATAATTTGGTGATCATCAATAAAGATTGGACATGTATAGAGTATAGCCAAAATCCACTAATACAGACAATACAGTAACATAATAATAGTAATAGTAATAATAATAATAATAATAATAGAAAAACACCTCTGCAAAGGCCGATGATTAGGTGGGAGATGGTAGTAAAAAAGGATACAGAAACTATAGGAGCCCAAATTGGAAGGTTTTGGTCATGTATAGAGAGATAGCTGGAGGATTGGTTGTGAGACGGCGTGGTCCTAGGGGCCGAATAAACCCAGGAAATAATAATAATAGTAATATATATATATATATATTATGTATCCAACTTAAGTATACTGCAACCGTATATGTATCGTTGTTATTATAATAATATGACGATAATGACAATTGCGAGGACCGACGAGTCAACGACCGCGTTAGAGGTATCCGATGTCTCGCGGAAATACTCGTCGGTGCGAAAATTTATTACAATCTTACGTCATAATAATCGCATTATAATAACATTGTTACCGCGGAGCAAACAATCATCTCGGCAACGACGATTTATTTTTACATTTTTTTTTAGTGCAGCTGTAATGCTGTACGAATACATTATTATAATATGCACCCGGATCGCAGTTTTGGGCCCATCACGGATATCACGTTGCTGACGGTTTTATCGTACTTCCAAACACCATCGCCGTGACACCGTTGAACATAATATACTAATATTATTATGAGTTTTCGTGCATAAACTGTCGCTTCCGGGTTTCGTTACCGTTTATGCCTCGGGTTTATATCGTTTGTACATATACGATATGCTGACGGGTAGTAAAATGCGAAATCTCGTATTTCGTGTATAAATCGTCTTCTCCGCTCTGTACCTACGCGGTCGTAAACATTTGTCGGTCAAATGATGGATAATATTGTTTGTTTAGGATTTTTTTTCTCATCATATATACCGGAATTCTTCTATCCAATTTCTCGTATAGAAAAATTCACCCGCAAAAAATTAAACATTTAAAATACCCAAATAATTTTATTTACTACTGTACTGTACAGCTTTCTACTGGACAATTTATTTTAAAAATTCAAACTCAAATTCGAAAAAAAAGAGTATTTATTCGACAGATTCTAATACACATTACACATATACATATATACATAAAAGCTATGTAATATGCACTTGTTACGAATTGGTAACAGTTAAAAATTTAGTCCGGAAGAGGATCTATAGGAAAAGGTAATAAATTTCATATCCAATAAAAGAATCGCTCTGTATATTGAATAGGTATAATAACCGTAGTGGCTGTGAAACGACGCTTTACACATACTGAGAATAATATTATCATCACATTGTGTTACAGCATATCTTGTTACCGGATCTTTTTATCACATTTTATTCTGAAAATATTCTAATATTATATTCAGCACTTATTTTCTCGTCGCTTCAGGGGGGGGGGATAAATTTGTAGCACAAATAGATTTAAAAATATATTATTTTTATACTATTTACTAAATATATTATTATTTGGTTTTAAACTCGTCTTCTAGGACCATACAGGTTGACAACCAGTCCTCCAGCTATATTTAACCATCGGCGAAATTTCCCGATTTAGTTATCAACTCAATTGACATATAGATTCCACATCCTATTATTTATTTATTTATTAACATATAAATACGTTTTTACTACGTCTCATCACGTTTGATTTCTTAAAGGCTTACTATTTACTGTATTCTGTTCTAGCACTGCTTATAGTCGTAAGTTTTGGTCACTCCATGTATAATGTCCAGCCCATCGCAGTTTTTGTCTTCAGTTTTCGATGATCTCTAAAATATTCTTTTTTCTATACGGTATCTGTAGCTCTTTGTTTTTAATTTGAATCCGATTTCCAAATATGTTATCATTAACTGGTCCAAAGATTTTAATACATATTTTTTTTGGTGCAAACAATTTATTTTCGTCTGTTTTTCTTAGTGATCAAGTTTTAGATATATATTGTAGCGTTTATTTCCAGTGACTATCTATATGGCTATTAAATTTTGATTATTAGTTATTAAAGTGCCGAGATATTACAATTATTTATTTTCTTAAATTCATACTTATCCATGAGTATACATGTTTCGCCATATTTTAATTCTGTATAAAACCTAATCAATTGAAAAATTCAAGTATCTCTTTTTGAATTATGTATTATTCCCTCCCTCCCCTTTCTATGTTTGTAAGTGTTTTCCCAATTCGATCGTAAAAGTCAAAATTGCCTATGCCGATAATTTCAAAAACTAAAGATAACACAACGAATGGTTAAACCTATTAGAGATCCGTTATTATTAGTGCAAAATATGAATACTTCAGCATACTTGAGTAAATATTTAAAACTCAAATAAGAGTAATGAATCCATATTTATCACGTGTAAAAAATTGAGGATTGCACTAAACATGGAGATTGGTAACGTGTCGATCAAAATAAAAAGTGTCTTTGCGTTGGTTTCCTTGCCAATAATAGTCATGTTTATATTATAGTCACAACAATAATAATCAAAAAACCGTTTTTACGAAACAGATTTTGTTCGGTTAGGTATAATATTATATATTGATTAAAACATCTTCCCACATCGCCGAGATCCCAGTTACCAATCATGACTACTCACTCATCCAAAACACTCTTCAGAAAATTTGTTTTAGAGTTCCCTCATACTCTATTCGCAACCAGTCTCCGTTCTCTTTACTTAGCCACTCCACTTCCTTCGATTATAACAACCCATTACACCGCTTCCTCAAAAATTATAATCCTCGATCAATTTATTTTGTATTTATTTCTTATTAACTATATTTAGCCTGATTTACATTCTATTATGTTTTCTTTACTAATCGTCTATTGTTATATTCTCCATTTACTTTACAGTTATTATTTTATGTTTATTTTTCTACCTGTCTTGTTGTTTTTTTATTGTTAAATAATTATTTTTCTTTTTATGTCGTTCCCATTGTAAAAGTCGTTAGGCGTTAATTTTTAAAAATAAAAAAAAAACAAATAACGTACATAGATAGCTATACTTAGTTGGTTTACAAAGTACGAATAAATTAAGTTTCCGACCGATGTCGTCCGAAATCACGTTTAATTCCTATATATATTGTGATGAAACAAATACAAAAAAATTATTATAATATTGCAGTTCAGCACTGCATTACTCTTTGTATTTTATTTCATGCATTGTTCTTAATGAAATTTTGTCATTCGACACCTTTTTTTTTAATAACACCACTCGAATAGTATTATTCGAAGAAAATGATTTACGGTGAGTATACGGAAGTAGTTTTACCGACCCCATCCAGTCATCGCCAAAGTCTGTTTACATTTTTAGTAAATAAGTTTATTACGGTGGCGCGTGTTCTTCTATATTATATTATGTAAAATGTAACAGATGACGACGCGGCGTCTCACGTATTTATTTTAATCGCACGCTCGGTCGGATTGCCACCGTGTTGCTGCAGCAATGGTGGTTTTATAAGGAATTTTGAAAATTTAATACCTCCCTTCCCATTGAACTTCAATTATAGTCACCACTGAGCTGCAGGGAATGAAGTCGCATTCCCGCTAACAAAGAATTTACTTCAGTTTTCACGGAGAACTTGTAATTATATAATAAACAATAATATTATAAACTATTATGTACACCGAAAAATGCTTAATAAAAATAAATAAATAAATAAATAAAAATGTTGCCCCAGAAATGTAATGATTAAAATTTATCGAGATTTTAATTTTATTTGTTTTCCTTCTACCATATTTTCCTCTTTTCTTCTTACTTTTACCTTTTACCCTTGAATATTAATTTTTCTGCCACAAAACCACTAGTTATCAAATACATGGCTATTGCATGGAGCAAATTTATTTACTGGTCGCCTATACTGACTTGCATAAAGTAGATTTGCTTGTGTAAAAATTTGTAAAACTTCAAATATGAGCACTGCCTCACCTTATGTAAAAAAGAATTTGGATTCGAAATGCGATTGTCCACTACACCGCTATGTTTGAAATTTCAGATCTCTTTGTATGATAAGTAAGTAATTTTTGTCAGTAAATTGGATTGGTTATACTATACTATATTTTTGATATCAACAATGTCGATGAAAAAAATATGACCGATTAAAGTAAACATTTTAATGATTTTCTAACTTTATTCAGATAAGTTGAAAATTACATATTTTAATGTTGAAACATCGTCTTCTTATGTTATTAGTATATATTTCGGTTTTTTTTTTTTTTTTTTTTTTTGTGAAGACGATTTGATTCCTACTCCCACTTTATAGGAATACAAACGTCGTAGTCTACATTATTGTTGATTGCAATATTTTCGATTAATATTGGACAGCAATTATTACAAATTAAATAGCGTTTATAATATTTAAGCGCAGTGGCTATTTTCACCTCCGTGACGTGAAAGTACCTACCTACAATTCCTATATACGATTTCACATCCACTATACCCAAATAGTCATAACTCGTAACAATATAACGTTAATTAATAATAATAATAATATTAATAATTCAATCAATAATATTTTAATTGAAAAATATCAGACCCCTTAAGTTATGACTACAGAAGACTACGCATAAAAATGTTTATTCATTTTTTATGCCGATTGGAGTATTTGATGACTATAATTTTTTTAATTTATAATTGTGTAGAAACAATATTCTTTGTCGAGGATTTACGATTTGTACACTATGATAATTATTATATTATTTTACTACACACTGTACATTTGATATTTTAACATATTAACACGGTATATTTTAATATTTTTAACTAAAAGATACGATTTTTTTCTATTTTATTCATTCCGTCGATTCAATATACAGAGCGATTCATGCTAAAACATGCTCACCTCATTTTTAGGGGTAAATTATATAAATTTTGATTTTGGGAATTTTTAAATTTTTTTTCTGTGGACAACTTTTCTATCAGCAATTTTGCTCCGATTTTCAATCGAAACACATTTTCTGAAAATAAATTTGACTATGGTGGTACTTTAGAAAGGTCATTTTTTGATTATTACCCAGGATTTTTGCCGATAAATGGGAAAAACGTAGGGTAAACGGGAAAATATAAGAAAGTATTATTTTCAAATCGTAAATATTACGACTTTTTAAATTATATTTAATCAAACTCTACCCAGAATCGTTTTTCGTTAGCAAAGATTAATCGTTGTGTACAAATATACATTCAATTCCTCTCTATATATCCTACCTTCCGAGCTCTCATCTACAACAGTGGCCCACCCATTGTGCGAAGTATGCCTGTTTTTTTCTTTCGTTTTTGTATTTTTTACCATGTAATATAACATACATACAGCACAGTATTACACCGACATTCGAACCTTAATAACAAGATTAAACTTATGTAAAAATTCGGTGTTTAAAATGATCTAAAACACATTGAAGCGAAGAATATTTGCACCGTTTTTTTAATCATCAGTGATATACATAATTACATTCAACATATTTACTACATAAAAAATGCTACTCTATGGGCATCGCCCAGTTTTGGGGAATGATTTCAGCGTGGAAGTCTCACAAAACTAACTGAATAGACGAACCCTGTGCTACAAGTATAACCATAATAAAACCTAAATCCTACTTTGGACAAAATGACATTTTTTGAGCTTAGTAAGTAATTGGTGTAATTAGTACATAAGCACATTAGCACATTATACCAGTAAACGATAAAAATCAACGAAGTACCTATACAAACCTGAAACATTAATTCTGAAATGTATTATTATTAATCATAAAACTCGCGTTATGTATAGTCAACTAATAATAATTCATGAAAATAACAAAAAACAAATTATACTTTAAACGCCCAGAGACGTGACCGCTGGTAACGTTTTAGAATAATAAACTAAACCATCACGGGCGTTCCGCTATCATTCAAAAGAAAAAAATGACTTTAATGAGTTTCACAAATCACTCATTAGTGAATAAATATTATTGTTCAATTATTTAACAACCGATTGTTAAATAAAATAACATGTTAATATTAGAGTATACGAGTATGTATACTTGTATTTACATTTTTTAATTATAATATAATAATATATTATTATATAAACAGACTCAAATTTTTTTTCAAGGTAAAGATATATGGAACATTGACATCTTTCTCTGGCCTTTAAATTTCCTTAGAGTTTTTTTCCGCCAAAACAACATTACGCCATCTATTGCACGTCTTGGACTACTTGTCTCTCCGGTCTTCTATCACTCGCTGGCGTCTCAGATACTCTCCGAGAATGTCAATTCACTTTTATTGGATCTACCGAGACGTCTATTTCTCTTATCTCTTATCATACCCTCATCTCTTTATCGTACGGCCATTTTTATGTTCTAGTCATATAAATGTCACGTACAAGTATATTACAAATAGCAAGCGAAATAATTTAGGGATTTGTAAGTCGGGTTAAGACGAGAATTCTTGCAGCTAGTACGAACGACCAAAATAGAATAACTACCTATGCATACTAATAATGTCACATCTAATCAAAATGCATCACAGTAGCGTTCATTGATCGGTTATTAGTGATAGACACTGACTTATAATAATTGATCACTAAACCCGATCTAAATAATTAAATATAATATGTTTTTTTTTTTTATTATTATTTAACGATATTTATTTATAATTATTACAAAATTTATTTTGTAACAATTCTAAATATCAGATGAACCGTTTGGAATTTTACACGCCGTCGATTAAATGTATACATTTAATTTTTCAAGACGTTTGTTTGGTACATTTTAACAGATTCTTAAACCATTAACTGTGATAAACGTTTGGTTAAAAATACAATTATAAAATAATTTTAGGTTCTGATTGTAAGGAAATATATTCTAGATGGTACATCAAAGAAGTCATTTTTTGTTTTCCAAGCGGTTTTCATAATATCTGGGAAAACATGGGATAAAACGTAAGAAAAACGGGAAATTATTTTCAATTTTGTTATTTTTTGTAATTCAGTTTAAAATATTTGTATAGACATGAAATTTGAACAGAAAACATATGTTTGCCTTTTCTAGATATAGTAAAATGTTCAAAACATTAGGACATTTTTAAGCTATTCATAGACATTATAATTTTACAAGTTTTGTAAGTTTTTTTTATTCTCTAGATATTTTGTGGTAAAACTGTTAAACCTAACAGAAATGCTTGACAATTTAAAAGGAGGTTCATTAAAAGTCGTGGTAAAAAAAAAAATTGAGTTTAATGTAGTATTTTCTTTTTTTAAAAAAGCAATTTTAATATCAAATTTTGACGAAAATCGTTTGAGTAAAAAATTATGTGGAACAAATCTAATTTTTCAATTTTTTTTTTTCTAACATATGTATATTGCCGATTCAAGAACGGTCAAGTCAGAATTGAGCAGACTGACAAAGTTTCAAAATCATAGCTTTTTGAGGTTCTGATATTATCATAGATGTACGTATGGGGATAGGGTGTACAGCTGCCCCTCCTGCGGACTAAATTTTTCTTCCAAAAACCGCGAAATTTCAATTATTATATTAAATTTTTAATTAAACTAATCCATATGTACATAAAACAAAAAAAAAAATGTTTGGAAGTCCGTTATAGACTCAGAATATACTGGACAAATTGGGATACGGTTTTCATGGATATAATTTGAAATTCTCATGGAAGGTTTATACCTAATTTTTATTCCGAAATTACAATCCTAAAGGGAGATTGATAAGAGATTATTGGTATTTTAGGAACGAAAACCTAATTATTTATGTTGATTTATTGGTTATCTTGGTATATCTCCGAATCTAAAACCATATATCATAGTTTACTCATACGCTCTTAATTGGAAAAAAAAAACCTTACGATGATACTTGCTGAGTTAAAATAGGACAGGGCAAAAAGAGTATTTATACCAAATTTACTGGTAATCCTTAAAATTATATTATAGAAATGATTCCATAATGCAAATTAAATACGAGGAAATCTGTCGTTCCTAGAAGATTTGTTGTTGTAATTAACTAAGACTATTTATAAAAATGATAATACGAATAAAATAAAAAATTATATGTATGTATGTATTCTTTTTTTCGGGTTGGCATGTGAAATCTCTCTGTTGTCCTATTTGGCCCGTTAAGTGTTTTTGTTAATATAGTCAAATTATTTTTATTTATATTATGTATATAATCTTCTCACAGAGAAAACAAGCGTCATAAATATTATTCGTGTATAATAATATGTTTTGTTAAGTTTTTCACCCGTGAAATTATATTTTATATAGTCCGGGTAAGTAAATAACGCTATGTCCTTTTTTTAAACGTTCTAAACTAAAATTTCTATACTACTATTTCGTGTGTTGAAGTCGACAAAATTATCCTTAAACACATACTTTAACATAATATAGTACTTAAGCATAGTCACCTACACAACATAAACGCATCCAAAGATTTTTTTTTTTTTTTTTTTGAAAATAAATTGTCGAGATACCAATATTGCGGAGTAATAAATAAAAATTAGTATACAAGTATCAAAGTACAAGAATTTCAAATGGCATGTCATTTTTAGTTGTTTACAGCACAGCGATTAAGTAAATAAGTTTGGCAAATACACGCGTTTTCGTTATTATTATATTTTTTTAACGCATTTACCGTACGACATATTTTGTCATAATTTTCTACGTAACGGATATATTTACGAAAATATTTTCTAGAAGCGTAGAAGATTTCATTTGGGTTTTTACTACGCGTTGAATATTGTATATTAAAATAAGGAACGACCGTACACTGCATAAAGTGTTAAAAATTATATACTTACGAAAATATTGTGTTACTATGGTGTAGCTTATTGAAGAAAACTTGCCATTAAAAATGTATAAGGTAATTGTAATCTAGTCAAAATGTATCTAATTGTCTGAGCAAAAAACGTGTTACCTTGATAAGTAAGTACATAAACAAATTGTACAACTAAAAACCATAAAAAAAAAAAAAAATCAAAGCTAAATCGAGCATTATTATTGTAAGTGATGGAATAGTATTATAACATTATTATAGCTCTCACCACATACCACACAAATTATGAGTAGTAATAAACGAACTCTGCATTTCTGAAAGCCAAATTTTGGAAAATTCACCAATCCTCCTTGCATTACTGAACTAGAAAGCTAGAAAAATATTCAAAGACAATGGTCTCTCAAAACATTCACCACGTCACTGATTATACATATATCTCAACAATTAGTTCTTCTATATGTGTAGGTTTCCAGGTTTTAGTGAGTAAGTAAAGAGTAACATTAACTTTTTGAGGCCCACGTACAAGAATTTATTTTTAGGCCTCTGACTTAAAGTACTGGAGTACTGTACTCGAATTGATTTAAAATTCAACAAATTATTAACTTACTCTAAATACCAACATTTATATACGATATCTATTTCTTATATTTTTTTTTAGGTAAATTTAATTTAAAACTTTACAAGCAATAAGGAAAAATGAATTCTTAATTTCAGATTTCAATGTTTGAGGCACCTTTATTAAATCGTTTGGTCGTCTGCATACGCTGAACACCACTTGTACAGTGCACAATTAATTATTACGGCACTGAGTAGGTATTCGGTATACATAATATATATATAGTTTAGTACATCTACCAAAATACGATCTAAATCGATTTCATAAATGGACAGTTGACATTTTTCAAAACTTTAAAATCATATATCATATGTCCATATATCATCAAATATATTCTAAAATTACGAATTACCACAAATGACATGTTCGCGTTCATGTATAAATGACTTAAATATTTTCTGTAAACATACCCCGAATTTAATATTCATTTTTTTCGGATATTTATTTAATCTTGTTAACAATGCATTTATGACATAGTATTGAATTTCCATGATTTTATCGTATCGTAGAGCGGTGTAAAATTTATCGCAAACAAATTTTTGTAAATTTAATACATTTTTTACTTTTAGAGTAAAAATATAAAATGTATTAGCTGTCCCGCAACGCTTTGCCCATAAGCAGTATTGAATGGTAGAGGCGGAGAGGAATTGGGTGTCTCTGAGTCCCTAGCTGAAAACGAGTGAAAATGCGTTTTAATAAAACTTATTAATCCAAGGTCTTTATTATCGTAACAAAATATATTTTTATCGACAGAAACAATGAACAATAATTTAAAAGTACTCTATGACCATGTATACAAACAAACAAATAGCTCAAGAATCGCCAGGATATTTGGAAATGTTAGTATTCTGTGAAGAGTTCATGTGTCTATATTATGATTGTTTTTAACTGAATTACAACAAATGAACAGAATCTATAATATGAAAATACGTTTATCCATACCGATTTATGATAGATTCAAACGGTAAAACGCCACAGGTAGGTTATAACGATATAACGACGAGAATTCACGGACCAGGGCGCAGGTCGTAGTATCAAACGGGCATCATCGCGATAAAACGAATTATAACAAATCGCGCGTGTCTCGGAAACCGCGCGGTATGCATTATATTACGTGTCTTAAAATATTTCTTTGGGCACATCGCGTTTCTCGGGTATGCGTGTACGATAAAATATTATTACGACTTAGCCGAGCTCGCGCGGTTAAAATGTAATCGTGAACAGTCGAACGATTTTGACTGATACGGCGTGTCATTCGTTTCGAAATAGTTCGCCAATCGGTTTACACACAATATACACTACATATATTTATATACAAGTGTACGTACACATAATACCCTAGTAAAAATGATATATATATACATATATATACTCGGAAGAAAAAAAAATAATATTAACGAAATCTATGGATTCTGGTTTATGATGATTGACAGTCGTAAATACTCGTATGTATACATGTTGGTGTGCCGCAGTCTCCCACGATGAATAAAATAAAAAAAAATAACAAAATAATAATAATGTTGATGTCAGTCCTGCAGTAATATTATTATGTTAGTATTTACTGCAAATAAAAACGTACAATGAATAAAAAAAAACAACGTAATTCGCATTACCATAAAAATACAATTTATTCACGTACTCGATGAATTTACTATAAATACTTTATTCGTATATACCTACCTAATCGTTTAGGTATTGTATTTTATGTTAAATAGTAATATTAATCGAATCGAAATTTGCAATCGTATCTCTGTCTGTAGGTACAGGGAAATTGAAAAGATATATAGGATATAATTTAGTTTATGTACCGAAAGTAACAATAAATCATTCGCAATCAAACTACGATTCTGAGCTGAGCTCGGTAAACTGGTAATAAGATGCAGAAAAATGCCTATAAGGTTGCACAGGTAATGTTTTTACCAGTAGTTTGAAATCTCTACTTTGAATGTATTGCGCTATCACTATCACTACATTACTAAAATGTGAGTTCCCCACAATTATCGCTATGTTTTTTTTTTTTAAAAAAATAAATCGCAACTTTTTTTGATTTAAAAAAGCGAACTTTTTTTATTTTTGTCAATCGTATAAAATGTAATCCCTAAATATTAATTCTTACAATACAAGAACAATGTATTTACCAATTGACGTTTCCAATAGGAGAAAAAAAAACTATAGTTATACATTTTATTTTACTATAGAATAAAATAAAAATAGTATAACTACAAATTTGCATAGTAATTTATTTATTTTATAATTGTATAAATTCAGTGTTATCGCGCTATACAGTGCTCACAAAAACCGTACGCAAACTATAGTATAGCTACAAAAAAAAAAAAAAAAAAGGTAATAGTTGCGGTACTTCCAACCACTGGGTTTCGCATTTTAAATTAGGAAACAGGCAGATTAGCTTTAATATCGGAATTAACAGCACACAACAAAGTCGTCTCTGTCGAACGCAAATTTGTCATGCCGTACCGTTATCAAGACCCGCGGAGACAGCCGAACTACACGCGGGTATATATCGAGTGCTCGTCGGAAAACATTATATATGATCATAAAAACGTATCGTATAGAACGGATAGACGGATGGGAAGGTGGGGCATTGGTGGGTAAACCCCGAAAATCTCGTCGCGGGCGCGCGCCGGGCCACGCCGAGGGATTACGATCGCTACTATATACGGAATTCGCGCGAGCGTTTTCGGCCGCGGCGTCGGTCGTCTCGGGTGGATTCCTTTTAATTAATGTCGTCGCCGTCGCCGTCGCCCCGCCGGAAGAAAATAAAAAAAAACCTCTTAATAAGAGCGGTGGCCGCAGACGATAATATGACGTCGACGACCTCGAAACACGTCATTTGACAGCGCCCGTCGACCAAAGGGACCGCCACCGATGCCAATCAGCGAGGGCATTATTTATACTCATATCTGTGTACGCGCTCTGCGCGATACAGTGTCGGATATTACGCGTCGCACACGTGATATTTTGCTGCGGCGTCCACGCCGTACCCAAGACGATCGCGTTATCGGGGGCGCGTTGGCCGTTTCGAAAGCCACGGACCCCGTACGCGTGGTGGGTTCGTGCGCACGTGCGCGACCGCCGGTATACTATTATAGCCGCATAATTGGATATCGCGTCCGTCTTTTCCGTTCGTTATTTAATTACTCGCGGTTGTTTCTGACCGCTCGTGTAACGCGGATAATACAACGCGGTGTTCGGTCGCGTACGGGCACACCGCGCAGTTCAAAGGCATCGCCCGCCCCCGTACGGCGATTCCTTTTATGTCCGGCCTTACGTCGCCGCCGCCACAGCCGTCGTATATTATATCGTATATATTTATACGTAAAAGCCCGCAGTGACTTTTATACGTAATATTATAATACAAGCGCGTGCGCGAGCTTTTCTATTATATTATTATCGGCCGTATCATCTATACACGCTTGTACATATATATACTATTATTATTATTATTATTATTATACAGAAAAGCTACAGCCTCTGTAATTTTCGTACGAAAATTGGCTTCTCACGTGCGTCCCCTCGGACGCATATTACGGCGCGTATATCATATGCACTCGTCGAAACAAAAAAAAAAAAAAACCAAACGAGAAAACTTTAAATTTATATCTGACGACGTGACTCCCGTGGCGAAAACAGAAGACTATATTATTTGATACATATAATAATATTATATTATACGTCCGCACAATTGGCCGCTAGCGATAGAGTCGAACGGATTATATTATTACGGTCCGCGCACATTCCTCGGGCGAATCTCGTACATATTGTCAAACGCCCAATTAAATATTGTACCCCGAAACCAGAAGGAATGCAAAATACGAGGCATAACTTTGCTTACAAACTAGGTCGGTTTACTTTTTTCGGGCCGAGTATAATATCATTATGATGATATTTGAACGCAGGAATTGCGCTCGCGTATTTCCATGTGCGGAAAATAAATGGAACTTTCATAAGCAGTTTAGAACATACTGGATATTATAACTTTTATTATTCGACGACTCCCATGGAACTACAACTACTTTAAGTTTTTCGTTAAGTGGACATAACATCCGCATCTACTGTCTTAGTCCAACTATGCAAAATTAATACTTAGGTACGCAGAATAAATAATACTAGCTTAACTTTGATTTTATAATAAAACCTATTACGAAATTTATAGTGAAAAATAAATTGAAGAAAATGTCATAGGTATTTTATGAATTATGGAATATTAAAAAAGTTACAGTTAAAAAAAAAATAATAAAAGCTTTTGTATTTATTTTGAATAATTCAATAACCCTAAGACGTTCCCTTCAAAATATTATTTATTGTTTTCTATACATTTCATAAAATTAAGCTAGTTTTACTTATTCTTCGTAAGCATTGTTTTTGCATGCTACTCAGTAGTATTCATTCTCAAGTATATACCTACGTTTTCATTTTCAACTTTTTCTGTTCAAAGAAGTTTGTGTGTTCTTTTCCAGAACAATATTTCAAATCCTTCAATCCTTTTCCATACCTTCTTTGTTCTGGTGTCACAATATATTCAAATTGGAGCTAACCTAACTGCGCAATGTTTTATTTAGAAATGTACCTTTTAATGTTTACTAGTTCGTGTTGGCACACACGGTAACGCGTTGTCAAAAATATATGTATTATATATAATTTTTACGGTTGTTAAGATTCTCTCCTAATGGTGCACATTTCCTTGTTCCTCTTTCCGTGAAAAGTCCTGCTTAACACAATTTTCTCAACGAATCTTTGGCCTAAAAAGCAGCTTTTTTTTCTCTTAAGTTTTCCTGGCATACTTTTTTAATCACAGATTCTTGCTTCCTCCACACATGACCTACCCGTTCTAGTTTCTTAAGTCCAATAGCATACCCAAACATTTATATAATATCTGTATGTACGAGTATAGTTTCCTAAAAATGAAAATATAAATTTTTTTAAGGCGAAAGTTGTCCGGTGCTATTTTTAATTAAATTAAATATTTTTACTATTTAACTCAATAATATTATGATAATATACGACGCACAATTAGTCTATACGCTATTTTTAATTCGATATTATTGTTCTTTTTTTTTTTTGAAATCATGTTTGTATTATTTAGATTAAAAATATTTGTTTACGAATTTGAAGCGAGTCCAAAACAAATTCGGGAAACTTAAAAATTGAACAACTTTTTTTTTCTGTTTGTTTTTAGTACTAATTCTTGTTTTGATGTACATAATTTGTTTACTCTATTTTTCCACGTTTGTTAATTTGAAAACTGTAAAAGTTCGAATTTTTACTATAAATTATACGAACGCATGTAGATTTGAAATTTGTACAGAAATAAAACTGCGAGACTCGTGCATTTATAATAATATGCATGCGTGTCTTTGTAATTTTTTTTTTTACTTTTATTAATACATCGCTACAAAAATACTCGTATAATTTTTATTTTTACTTTGATATCGCTTGAAATTAAATTATACAAGAACATTTATTTTTACCTATACGTCTATGCACAGGTAAGTAATTTAAATTAAATATAGATACGCATCGCCTGGATTGAGTTACTTGCAAAAATAATTGGCCCGAGTTCGAAATAAAGTTGATATTTTCAATGAACTTAAACCTATAGGATGGTCAATTTTAATTTAGATTCTAAATTTTACATGGTAGAATTTAAGAAAATAATTTAAGCAATTTTGTTAGAAATATTACAGAGATAGTGAATTCTACTTGACTTTTGAGAATAATTTAATAGTATATACTTTCTTCAAACTTTTAAATGACGATATTTAATAATATAACTGAGACTGTGTAAAATTAACGTAAAAATCAACAGTAAAATGGGATTGCTGTAGATGAGAAGTCGAGGAGGTACAGGGGAAATTTAATTTATATCTGTACGTCACGATAAATCATTGTTAACGAAAAACGATTCTGAGCAGAGTTCAGTTGATAGTGTTGCTTTGATAACAATATATATATATATGTCATATTATGGTAAAATAATTAAATTTGCATCATATATATATATATTCTTTAATAATATTTGTTTAATATTGTTCCTTTTTTCTTGTTTTTTCCATTTATTAGGAACACTCCTGAGAAAACCGAAAAATGGTCCCTCTAGTCAAATTTCCTTTTAGAAAAAATTCTATCATTGTAAATCGGAGCTAAATTGCTGGTAGAAGAGTTATAAAATCTGCTAAGGATTTTTTATTTTAAAAGAAAACTATTATTTTAAATGAAAGGATTCTGAGGGTTTCCATTTTATTGATCGACTACTACGGATTCATTAAGAAATTTTACTTATGATTAATTTCTAATAATAACCAGCATACCACGAGAATATTATCGGGCAGTCACATTAATAATGTTCAAAACAAATATTTTAATTATTATTTGATTCACATACACGGCAGAACCCGTAGAAAGGTATTTTGCCTTACTTGTTATATATAATGACTCATATTATAATACAATAACTCAATTAATTCGGGTCACGAAACTCGAGATTTCGGTTAATTATTTTTTTTTCACGTATAATATATATATAACGATAAAACAATTATTTTAGGGGTATACGCACGATTTTCATACCACATCATAAACTATAATGCAGAATTTTTTCGCCGGGTGACAATATGCAAACTTTATTTCAAAACATTTCTGCAATTTCGATTTTCTATAAAATGTAAAAAAAAAAACTAACAACAATTTGTGTTATGACCAAAATCGTACAAAATCGTTAAGTACGTGAAGGTATGACATTTTGAATATATTACGGTATTAAAGGCAGATACATCCAATACCGAAAACCCGATTTATACATTTTAATATTACTATATTAGTGATATGAGGGCGGGGCGAATACTTGAACTTTGGTCTTTTGAATTTGTTTTTCTCTAGTCTTCTTTTTTCCCTGATGAAAAGCGTCACAAAACAAACGAAACTCTATTTATTAGTTAAATCATGTTAAATGAGGAATTTTTTTTTATATTTTATTCTTATTTCTCACTATTCACCTAAGATTTACTCTTCTTAGAGCCCTTAATTTTAATTTTAAACTTAACTATTGAATCTTTTAGTTTTTTTTTTTTTTTTTTAGTAGGTATTTTAACTTATTTAGTTTACAAAAACACTTAATAAAGAATGAGCTGAATTGGAAGTTAATTTTTAATCTATACACTTTATAATTTAACACTATCGTTCTCGTATGAACAATGTAATTTGGTCTCGATTGGTTTTTTTTTTGGAGGGGGAATTAAATTTATATATATTTTATAACATGTACTTATAAACCCTCGCTATTATGTTATACGTCGAACAACCTTGTATTTAATAAATCACAAACTCTAGGTCTATTTATTTGCACTACCTATGTATGATAGCAATAACAAGTTTACAAAAAAAAGAAAAAAAAAAAAGTTAAAGTTGTCAACCCTTTGTATACTGACAAAATTATTCTAACAACATAAAACTAAATGGTAAATTATGAATTGTACTACGTCTAGAAAATTAAGTATAAGTTTTCTGTCGAAATTTCAAGTTTGTACGAATATTTTTGATTAAGGCAATTATTTTTGGGGTAGAAAAACATAAGTTGCAAAAATTAAAATAATTGAACCGGAACGCCACATTTCCGTAAATATTAATGAATTTAATTTTTTTTTTACAAATTAATAATTATTATAAAAAATACTTTAGATATCAAAAAATGACTTTCTTTATTAGTGGCGAAATATAATAAGGAACAAAATTGATCTTTTGTCATTTTTTTATTAAAATAATATTTTTTGTAAATAACATAAGTTATACAAATTAAAAACAATGAAATCGATAACGCCACAGCACGCCCGCCGTAAATATTTGCCGTTTTACCTAAAATTTTCTTTTGAGTTTTTCCCAGTTATTTCGAAAGCCCCTTGGGAAATCAAAAAATAACCTCTTAAATGCACTAACTAGACAAAATTTTTTTTCAGAAACTATACTTTACTATGCACAACAGAGCAACATTTCTTCTCAAAAAGTTGTTTACAGACAGAAAAAAAACTCAAATCATAGTAAAACCAACAAATCCCTCAATACGGTGCGAATCTAAACAAACACTAAAACATCAAAATAAAACCGATACATTCCTCATTCCACTAAGAATTTTAATCAACTCAATACGTGAACTTAACTAAATTTTCAAAATTAACCTTTAATTATTACATCTTATTAATATTATTATCAATTTACTTGCTCAAATTTAAACTTACATTCAGGTAATATTAATTATTTATAATTATACTTCGATTTTAAAACATAAAAAAAAAAAAAAAAAACACACTAATATAGTAATAATAAATTACAATCATTATTATGATGTAAAATGTATACTACGGCATTCTCGCGCAGTGTGGACCACCAAGAACGGATATTAATATACAAAAAAAAAAATAACCAATGTGTTGGTATATTGTTTTATTGTGTAAAGGTATCTGCCTATATACTATTATTATTATCCACGGAACAAATTTAATTAAATTTAATATTATGATTACCTCTACATTCCGTTTGAAAATTCAAATATATAGTGTTCTTTTTTTGTTCCTTTTTTTTTTATTTTTTTTTTTTAAGGTTAGGTACCTATACCTACCTACCTAGTACCTATAACTATATATATATATATCGATTACTCCGTTATTTTCGATATTTTTTCGGGTTTATTATTAGTATATTTAATTAGTACGCTGCAGCGATAGAAACAACAATAATAATTGAAGTACTCTAATTAATTTATTCGCAAAATGTTCAAGAATTTTACACTATCGTAACCTTGTTATTATAGTTAGGTATCTGCAACTGGTGTAGAAAAAGTACCCTGTGACAAAAGAAAAAAATTACTATATAGTTGTATAACGAATAAATAAAATACGATTTTACTTTCGTTTGACATTGTTACATGAAAAATGACATTGTTTTTAAAATATGAAAAAAATAACTAAAACAGCTGGCATTAGATACCTACATAATTTATTTAAGGTAAAAAAACAACGTAAAAACTTTCTAAAACTCGTTTCCGAGTCGTGACGGTGGTGGTGATGCCGATGGTGATGGTGGTGGTAATAATGGTGGTGGTGATGGTGGTGGTGGTTGTTTGATGCGAAAAACATAAAAACAGACGTATACGAGTGTGTAGGTATCTGGTGTATACAGTGAAAATCAATTCCAGTCACGTAGTAGCGCGTCGGCTCCTCGTATACAATACATATAGTGAAACTCGGACCCGTTTTCTAGGGGAGACCTATACTATCGCGAGGCTGTGGATTTTCCGTATATATTATAAATATTTCGTCGTTTCAAAACGATTTATTATTATATGTGTCGAAGTGCCGTGTACAACTTTACTCATCGCTGCTGCTGCTGCTGCTGCTGCCGGGGAAGGGCGGCATAGATGTTTTGCCCGAAAATATTATACTCGATTTTATCGCACTCAGCTAGCTCTCGTATAGACACATCATGGTGATAATGATATTATAGCAATCGAGATAAAAGCGCGCCTATTTATCATAATAATATTTGCTTCGAATATGAAAAAATTAATGCAGAAAATACAAAAAAAAAAATATACATGTAAATAAATAAATAAATAAAATGTACAAATTCTTTTGCTTTACATAAACGTCGTCGACATTGCCATGTAGTGGAACGTAAAAATTGTCTTTATACATAATATTATTATTATTGTAATTTATATTAGGTGTGTAATATTTATACTCATACAATATT